TCCTAGAGTGATATCACTAAGTCAGGTACCGGTATGTGGTACAAAGTCAGCTGGATTGGAGCCAACACCCACCTTGATTCGACATGTTCTTGTTGTCCTCGGAAACATCCTGCTGTTGGGTTCATCTAAGGAAGGGTCGAATGCTTATGCTGAAGTGACGTTTGCAAGGGGGGAGTACTTCAGTGGCGTCACGTTGTTTCATCGGTGAGAATTGAGTCTTTTTTTGGGAAGCATGATGTAAAATTTAGATTTTTTTCCTGAGAATTCTGCGAAAAAAGTTGGTGAATTTTCCATGTATTTCTACGACGACAATGGATGCTGTCAATGCCGATGCCCCTGTCATCGGGGGCGACCTACTGAGGAGGACGATCCTGAGGAGTATCCTGCGGGCGAGCGAGATTTGAACAAGAACGTAGATGGGAGCAGACGGGCTGACATAGTACGGCGAGAGATAGAGTCGCTCCAAAGGGAGAAGGAGCGACGTGCTCGAGACGGAGGAAGGCGTTGGTCGATTCGTTCGGACGGGGCAGTTACATGCGCTGGAAGTGAGGGGCAGTCTTGGGTGATGTCGTCGAGGAGTGGTATGTCATATTCTGCTGATCATCATGAGTATGATAATGAAACGGCTGATCGATTATTTTTGGGCGAGCGAGATGTTCATCATGATGGTATTCGGAGACCTCCATCACGCACGGTGGGAGACGTTGTTGATCTGAAATCGTCAGGGGGTCTCTTAAGAGAGATTTCGAGGAAAGATGGTATGAGGCGGTGTGAGGGTGAAAATAAGGAGGAGAGGGACCATCGCAATGGTGTCACAGAGTCACCGGTGGGAGAGCGATCTGATGATGAACTTGATAGAGTTATCTCCAGATTGGACACAACCGTTGCAGGAAAAGGAGGAAGCGTGGTCGTTAAGTCCGAGACGAATCCTGCGGATTGGAATCCCAACGATTTTAGAGCTGCTGCTTTTTACTCTCCGGTGAAATGTGAGCAGTCGAAAGTAGCCGTGCAGTGTAGAGGAAATTCAGTTGGTGAGAAGTATGCAAAGGTGAGTTGTTTTGTAATGTTCTGTGTGTGACATGATTTGTATTTCTCTAGAAACGACCTGGTCCGGAGCGCCTGGCTGAGCTGCTGGAGAGTGGGAGTTGATGATGATGACAATCTGCATGGATTCTGAGGTGTTGAACGATGATGTGTTTGAATTCTATGTTGTGTTGTTATCAGTTTTTGGGAAAAGAGGCACGTGTGTCGGTGACAATAGCAAAAGTGGGGGAATTCTCATTGGTTTTGGTACAGTTCTACCCGAATTCATGATGTAAACTTGTATAATTAGTATGAAAATTGCGTGAGCTCAGCTGAGGAAAGCGAAGATATATTTCTCCAACACTTGTTATCACGAGGGGGTGGTTATCGTTGTGTAAGTTGGAGCCCATTTTCCATGGCTAGTGCTGACGATTAGAAATATACTCTGCGGCGCGTCGGTGGGACTGCTCGGCACAGGGTTGGAATATATGTTCGCTTTCGTCAGCTGAGCTTGGGAGGTTCCTCACTAATTATAGAAGTTTGTAGACGAATTCGGGTAGAAATGTTCAGAAACCAATGGGAATTTTCCAAAATTTGCTCTCAGAATTTTCATATGGTCACCAACACATGTAGTTGACCATGTACATATTTTCCCTCCCGTGTATGGAATATATGTTGGCTTTCCTCAGCTAAG